GTGAGTGCCTTTCCACAGTCAATTATCTTGCATGCCCATTAATATGAGGCACAGAGATGCATGTATTTGTTTCTATTCCCACAGTTCCATCCACATGCCTCTCATCCAGATTTTCTTATCTTCAATTTCCAATCTTTCTCCTTCCAAGACTGACATACCAGCTAAGTTTTTCTACACAGTATAGGAGACCACCTCAGGCCACAACTTCCTCCATACAAAGTGAAGTACCAGCTGTACTGCTCACAGATTTGCCAACTGGGAGTTATTCCTTCAACACTACTCTTTAGGGCTACTCCAACTGAAGCTGAAGTGAGGTGGCAGTCCATTTAAAACTATCATCATTTAATGCTGACATCTGTCCACCAGGACTGATATTTTCTTCTTCCATTAGTTGGTCACCTCCTACCCCATAAGGCCATAAGAGTGGTTCGAGGGAAGGGCATCATCACAACAATGGTCAATGCCATCCGGGTTTTGTGCAATCTGCTGATTTATTTGTGTCTTCTCAGGCTGGATCCTAAATGTAGCATTTCCATCATGGGGTGGATTACTGTTGAGCCTGCCACACCTTATATACAGCTTATGATGGGCAGCTCCTATCATATAGTCACTTGCTATCTCTTGGTCAGGCACTCTACTCAGACTTAATTGTATAGTAGGAGCTGTTTCTTAAATGGCAAGTAGTTTACAGGAGATATAGATTTTCTTCAGTACCTCATAATTCTGTATTGCAACTCCCACATGATGGCTTGGAATTGACTAGATGCTATATCCTTATCCATTATAGATACCTTAAGCACTATCAGATATACCAAAGCATATGGCCTGAATTACAGGGCAGCTTGCACTGAAGATTTGCAAACTTGGTGGAGGACCATAATTTTCTACTGTAGCTGCTAACATCAGACTTTGGCTTGCCAGGTCACATTTTTTCTTTTTGTACCAAGGAAGTTATCCACCAGTCAGCTATCCATACATCCAGCCCTGGAAAACTTCTATCTATAAGGCATTGCCATAGATTTGTCAGTCAAATTAGCCTGACTCCACTCTGACCTTACTTCCCATTATGGTAATGATACCTAACTTTCCCTAGGTTTTGTGCCACCACCTGGGCTCCGATTTTTAAGTCTTATCATCCGCATTGCAACATGGTTTACTTCCAACCATAGTTTGCAGAGGAGAGCTAATATTGAGCTTCTCAAAAATGTCAGTGCTCCTTCTCACCAACACATTCTTTATTATCTTAGTGTCTTCTCTGCTTTCCTAGGGAAAATAGTTCAGAGATAGGTCCTCTTGTCTCACACAACAAATAATTTCTAATACCCCCACTCCCTATGACCTTCTCACCAATTCCTCAGTACTCTGGCAAGGAAGTTCCAGCAGGCTGATATTGTCCAAACTTAAAGATGCCACACCAGCAGTATATTAGGCCAGCTCCAGGTCATTGAACACTGAGTCACAGGTGTGTGCTCCTATGTCAATAAGTTCTGCCCTATATTCACTTATATCCTGCCCTCTTCTCTTGATAGTTTTATATCCTCAAAACCTATTCCAACATATATCATCCTAGTACATGCTTGTACTTATTAGCCAGTTCCTGTAGCTGCTTCTGAATATAAGGTATTTTCCACGTTTAGAGACTATCTTGCTCATTGTGCTGTGATGATACTTTACCCTTGTCATAAGTTGCAAACAATGAAAAATGTTAGTGCTGGATGTTGAGTAAGACAAGCAATGTCTTTTGAGGTAGCTCCCTTAGATAAGGTTATTGTCTTGTCTCCAGGAACATGGAGGCTGCTCTCCAACAGCATGGGATTATGGGGCTGCTTCTGGCAGGCTGAGGGTACAGAGGACTATAGGTATTCAAGATTCTCACATTCATTGCTATTTCAGACCTCAGGGTTTTACTTTTTTATTATCAGTAGATAGATAGATAGATAGATAGATAGATAGATAGATAGATAGATAGATAGACAGATGATAGATAGATAGATAGATAGATAGATGATAGATACATAGATACATAGATAGATATAGAGACCTGTCAATATTGTGCATGCAGTCTCTGTGCAGTTCTGCAGACCTTACAGTTAGAATCTGGGCTTGAAATTCAGCAGTCTGCCTTATGACTAAAGGAGATGAGGATCTCCTTAGTTCAGTGGATTAGGGTCGATGATAGGTAAGGCTTTCCCATCAGACACACACACCTATGTTAGAGATCCAACTTAAAACAATGTTAGGTCCTGCCTTACCAACTACTAGGCTGGAAAGGATCTGAGTTCACACTGAGTTGGAAGCCAAACCCATCCACTTCCAAACCCCCAATACCTTTCAATGGCTCAGTGAAAGAGGAAAACTGAGGCAGGTCTGAGGCACATCTCCTTCACTTCAATATATGCCACAAGATAAAGAGCATCTCAGGAGGAATCAGGTGTCCACTTTTTACCCGAAACAGACACCCAGGAACTCACAAATATGAAGATGTCTTTGACTCTGGGTTTCAAACACTGGCAGTTAACATCTCCTTTCTATGGCACCTAAAATGTATCCTCAGAGCAGAGCTTTAAACCACACATCCCTTGCTCTCCTGACTCACAAAGCTATGAATGAATGAATGTGGTAACAAAGAAATTATTACAACTAGGAGATAGAGATAGCTCCACTGAGAAAACTAAAGGTGGGTAATATATTGAAATCAGAGGGACATAGTGTTATAGAATAAATAGTGTGTTTTCCCAGGGTATAAAGTCCACATGTAGTGTGGTGATGGTCTGTTGTCAAGCACTTCTCAGGGCCACTAGGAAGGTATGTGAATGGGTATAGGCTGTACACCTGGAGGAGTCTTGGTCTTCTTTGGCAGGGTCCAGAGGAAGTTTTGTGAGATCTGCAGCTTATAAAATTTGGAAGATTTTCTTTTAAAATAATACAAAATCAACCACAAAAGTGAATATTTATTTAGAATGATAACTTATAACAAGCATTAAAATGATGACAACTACAATATTCAAAAATTCCAAGCAAATTATATATATATATATGAATGTGTATAATATATAGTTTTTAGTTTACATAAACGCCACTTATGTAGCTGCACAATCTGAAGTATGATGAAGTGAACATTCAAGGTGAAGGATATAATGGTTTTATTGCAAATCAAAACACCAAACTTTGGCAAATTTTACATAAACATGTAGCCATGTGAACAGATAACAAGAGCCCCAAAGTGACAGTTGTCTCACTCTAAGAGGTAAAAATGCACAAGTTTATGTTAAGCCCTTAGCATTTATTTTCACATCAAGTTTTAAAAATAAAATAGCTTTGCTACCATTTATTTTCACAGAAAATCTTGTTTCAAGTTAGGATAAACAATTTATTGGCTTCAGATTTTTCGTGTTGTATATTTAACCATATTTAGATAATTATCATATTTAGCCAAATGGAGGCTTTTTCTGTGACCTAATTCCAAATTCCCAGACTCTGGTCCATCTAATCCTTCTAGCAGTTTGGAATGACTTACCAGTTAGCATTTATGTTTTTAGAACCAATTGAAACTAATCTACAAATAAGCCAGATGATAAAGCTTGCTTCATTTGCGACAAATTACATATTTGGAGATAAGACTCAGAACAAAGTGCTTGATTTTTCTACAGCTTTTATCAAACTAGATGGGCTCTTAAGCAGTCAGCCTGGACTCAGGTCTAGAGTGGCCAGACTGTGAGACAATTACTCTAGCTGCCTTATATATGTGGTCAGACAGCTTTATTAAGAAGATCCACTCACTGTTAAGGAAGACAGCCAGAAGCCTGTCTGTTTTAAGAAACTATTCAGCCATTGAAGGATAGACACTTCCAAAAATAGAATTTCAGGGAAGTGCAGAATGAAGAATCCTATTTACGGCTACCAGAATTATCTTCTGCATGCTGAGATATTATTCAGACACATATAGACTACATGCAGGTAATCCATTTAACTTACTTTTGAGTTTCAGATTGTTTTCTTGCAAAAGCAATTATAGTTAGTTATAATACATAGCAAAGCATATCTATCTTTGGTTATGTCTCAGAGATATATTTTTTCCAAAAATAAATAGGCATGGCAGGAAAAATAATTCAACTATCTTAAGAGAAAACCCAATATTTTATAAAAAATTAAGCAAAAATATATAATTGAAGTTTCTTTCAGACTTTTTTCTAATCATCTTGCTTAATATCTAATAGTGCAATTTTAATATTAAAATGATTGTGCACATTGTATTTAACTATACAGCAGACACACAAAAATGCCATAAAACAAAACAGTACTTTCCCTTAAAATCATTTAGTAATTATGTATTCTAAAAATGTATGGGAAAGTAGACCTGCTGAAATATGTTGACAAAATTGACTTAGAAGAAGTGCAAGAAAAGGAAAGGAAGATGTAGTGATACCTACAGATCCTAAAGATCTCAAAAAAAAGTGAACACATTACCCAATGTCTTCCATTTTCAGAAACTACATGTTAGAGAGAATTATTCAGATTTTTAAATTTTATTTTCATTTTAACTTCTCAATATGCATTGTAGTTGACTTTCTTGTCCCTTTACCTGTTCCTCTTTCCCCCCTTCCTCACCCCTCCCCTCACTACATATCTGTTCACTTGTCTTAACGAGTTCAAGGAATTGTTGTGATTGTTGTGTCTTCTCCCCCCCACACCCTTTATTTGTTTGAATATTTATTTATTTTAGCTCCCACAAATAAGTGAGAACATGTGGTATTTCTCTTTCTGTGCCTGACTTGTTTCACTGAATATAATTTTTTCTAAGTCCATCCATGTTGCTGTGCATGGTAGTATTTCATTCTTTTTTATAGCAGAGTAGCGTTCCATTATGTAGATATATAATAGTTTCCTTATCCACTCATCTGATGATGGACATTTGGGCTGGTTTCAACTCTTGGTTATTGTAAATAGTGCTGCAATGAACATGGGAGTATAGGTATCCCTTCTGCATGATGATTTCCATTCCTCTGGGTATATTCCCAGCAGTGGACTAGCTGGGTCACATGGTAGGTCTATCTGTAATTGTTTGAGGAATCTCATTGCAGTTAGAACGGCTAATATTCAGAGATTTTTAAAAACTAGTATCTATGAATGCTCCCTGCTCTGGTTTCAACTCTCAGGAGATTTAATGAGCTTCCTTTGCTAATGGTCTCCGTCTTTTTTCGAATATGATTTTTGCATCAAATAATTCTCTTTCCCTGTAGCCTAGAGATGGTCCTTTTAGATACTTTGCTTCAGCTGCCTCGTAATCTAATCCATCAACAGCAGAAATTGAACAAATAATTGCTTCTGGCAGAAGAACTTCCAGGATAAACTTAATTTTATCATCTTTTATTAGAGTCAGCATTCTGCCATCTATTTTTTTGTAGATTTCTTGTAAATATTTCACCACCTCATCCAACTGATCTTCATCCTCAAAGTATGTTTCAATACAGGGAGTAAACCTATTTGCATTCAAAAATGATTTCAGCCATCTGGATCCTTTTGTGCCTTTTAAAATGGCCAGAAGGTGGTTCTCTGTTCCCTTTGCGTTTACAATGAAGTCCACCAGGTTCTTGTTGGCTCGGTCCCGAGCAGCCTTCATCCGGTCAGGGAGAATTTTCTGGAAGGACATTTTCTTGGCTTGGGAAGTCACAACCATCGGTTCCATAGTATCTTTATTATGCAGCTTTGGAAATAAGTTCCTGAAGGTATCTTGTTTGATTGCTTTCCTAATTGGATAACTAATGTCAGCAGCATAATACTCAAGGAAAGAGCCTGTAAAAGAGCCACAACCTATTCTAACTCTGTAGTCACAAATCAGGGAGATGCACCAGTCAATACTTTCACTATATTCCTCCCTGGCTTTATCCACTAGTGCTTGTTTCTCTTTACAATCAAATTTCTTTAGTCTTCGAAAGTTTACTCTAATACCTTTCTTTTCAGGATTCATGTTTGCCTCAACAAAAACCACACTTGCTTTCTTCTCTTTTCGCCTGATGCTTTTTACCAGTGCAGGCCAAAATGGGTATTTTTGATATTTAAACCAGACTATCATTCCTGTTTCAAATGAACGTGGCTCATAATGAAAAACAAAGCGTGGAAGTTCCTCATCTTCCTCATTGTCATCTAATGCAGAAGCATTAACAGGATTTAGAAGTGACGACTTGTCAGAAGCCTGAATTTCATCCTCAAGTTCTTCAAAATCCAGTGTCTGAAGATTTTGTTCCCTATTCGCAAGAAGTACTGAGTATTCCTGGACACGGTTAGAGGCACTAAGTGAAGCCTGGCATTCCCATGAACAACTTGGAGCAGATGTCGTGGCTCCCATCTCTGTTTCCACAGAAGGTTGATTCTGGCTGGCATCCATACATGGATTTGAGGGACCCTCTCCAGGATCCTCAATATTCTCTGAGAAGGTAGAACATTCAGAGGGAATAGCCAGGGTCTCTGGGCAGATGTCTTGTGCCTCGTCTTCTAAAGCTTTAGGCACAGTGAGGATATCTGATGGCAAAGATGGAACAAACTTTTCATCTTTAACACATGCACCCTCCTCTTTTACTGTAGAATGCACAGACATAACTGATGAGATGTCAATCTTTTTCTTGTTCTCTTTTTCATCATCATCTTCTGAAAATGAAGGGAAAGTTTGGCACCAGCTGGAGTTTTGTGATGACTTTGTTTCCATTTCACTTGGAATAGTACCACTGGTTGTGTGCATCTGAGATTTATCATCATACAAGGAATCATCACTCTCTGAATGTACCAACAGGGATGTTGGGTTTTCACTCTCTTCAGGACACTTTGGTGAGTCCCCTTCATGCTTCCGATACTTTTTAGGAGGGGGTGAATCAGACACCTCTTCTACTGTATTTTGAGACAGCATAGTGATCTCTTCTTCTTCATCTGAAATGCTTTCTTGACTCAAATTTGCTCTCTTGTTCAGAATATCCAGTGCCGCTTTTAGTGATCTTCCATAGGCTGTTTCCTCTCCAGGTGGATCACTGATCTCTGACTGTACTGCTAGTGAGGAGGCAATGGTTTCAATTTGAGATTTACTCAGAATCTTTGTTTCTGTGCTGTCCACTTTAATTTTTTCATCTAGTGAGAGTATTTGAACTTCTAGGGAAAACGCCCCTTTTCTCTTACTGTTTGATGAAGTTTCAGATCTGGACAAAACTTTTGCTGGCCATACCTGGTCTTGCCAATTGCATAGGACATACTCAGCATCCATTATGATTTGGATTTCTGTGCAAAGAAGTTATTATTAAAGGTTGAGGTGGCTGCCTGTCCTTGTCACTGCTAAAGCCTATCTTAACAAAAACAAAACTCTTAACAAAGCCTCTTTTGTCTTAGGACTACAAAGGGTTTACAGCTTGTGTGGCCTGTTCTCCTTCAGCTCAATTTCCCAAGGATGCTTGAACACGTTGTTTGAATGGGACGACACTGGAAGATACTGAAATAGGGAAAAGGAAAAGAAGATAAGTATGAGCAAATAAAATTATTTTGCACCAAATCAGGTGAGCAATTGCAAATGGAGAAGAGATTAAAAGAAAGAACGATGTTCAGTTGGGCATCAGAGAAGAAAAATGCACCATAATGTAAGTGGGAGGAATAAGAACTGGAAAAATGATGTTATAATACCTCAAATTCAAGAACTTGCCCTTTTTATTGTACAGCTTATTAAGGAGTGAATGTACGTACCTGCCTGTACAGGTGGGACAGATTGTGATGGTGTGTCTGGGAATCTACTTATGTTATTAGATACTTTGGTAATTTTGTGTCCCTAACATTATACCTATGGCAGTGGGTCTCCAAACTTAGCATGCATCAGAATCATCTGGAGGACTTAGATTTCTAGGTCCCATCCTGGGAGTATTATTCAGAAGGTCTTGATTGGGCTCAAAATTTTGAATTTTTAACAAGTTCTCAATTGATTCTAATACTACACGTCCAAGAGGAACTCTTTGAGAAGCAGTGTTGTAGCCGAACACGCAGCTTTATAATTTTTAAGCTGCAAGTGCTTCACTGTTCAACCACAGCAGGCAAACAAAAACAAAAGGGTCTGTATCCCCTGGAACCAGACAGTTAATACAATGACCTTGTTAAAAGCATAAGCTTAAAAGACACAGATTTTGGGAATGGTTGCTGTGGCCACTTATTAAATAGGATAGTTGTCAAGGACCGGGGAGTTGGGCCATTGGCCGGAACCTCAGGTAGACACCTGAATAGCCTCTTGCATAATTTCTTTACAGTGGTTTAATATGTGAGATTCTTTCCAAAAACTAGAAGATATGACGTTTAATTATAAAACGTTATGGCTGCAGAGTGGGGAGCAAAGTGAATTGTACCCTAAATTCTTAACTGAACATGATTTTAATATGAAATGTGACTTTTCGTGTAAAATTCTATGACTGTGGAGCAGGAAGCAAAATATATTATTCCCCAAGTTCTCATCAACTTTTTAACGTGAAATGTTTCTTGAAATGGGAAAAGCCTTACCCACTATTATGTAGATCCAGCTGTCTTGATTGTCAGTCCCACTGCTTGACCAGCAGGTCCCTTCCCCTTCTCAGCACTTCTGTGGCTGCACTGCCTTTCTGGGGCTCAACTGGTGTTACATGTAGATTCCCCAGGTCATGTGCATCTCTGATATTAACCTAGGCTGTCCAAAAAGAAGACAGGGAATCAAACCATTAGAAAAAGTATAATAGAAAAAGTGTGAAGAAATTTTCCTACCAAAATTCTAGCAGGCATGTTATTCTGAAACACACGAAGGAGGTGAAATCTCACCCGTGATATAGATGCCATGTTTATTTTCCTTCTTGTTCTTAATATTTGAAATTCTCTCTGTGGCACAATTACAATATTTAGTTCTTGTTGAAATCAACTCTCTCAGGAAAAGTGTGAGGTGAGGACAGGAGAGAAGGAAGTAACAATTGGTTTGTGCCTACTGTGAGCCAGAATATAAATGTTGTTTGAATCCTCACAGTGATCATCATGGGGATTTTTTTCTTCTTTACACATACAGTCAATCACCACATAACAATGTTTCGGTCTGACGAACTGTATATACAACAGTGCCTCCATAAGATTATAATGGAGCTGAAAATTTCCTACTGCCTAGTGATGTTGTAGCCATTGTAATGCCGTAGAGCAACTACTTTATTTTTCAGTAAATTTAGTGTAGCCTAAGTGTACAGTGTTTATAAAGTCTCCAGCAGTGCACTGTATAGTGACGTCCTAGGCCTTCACAATCACTCCCCACTCACTCACTCACTCACCCAGAGCAGCTTCCTTTCCTGCAAGCTCCATTCATGGTAAATGCCCTATACAAATATATTGTTTTCTTATCTTTTATACCATATTTTTACCATACCTTTTCTGTGTTTAGATATGTTTAGATACACAAATACCGTTGTGTTACAATTGCCTACAGTATTCAGAACAGTAACATGCTGTACAGGTGTGTAGCCTAGAAGCAATAGGCTTTACCATATAGCCTAGGTGTGTAGTAGGCTACATCATCTAGGTTTGCATAATTATACTGTAGGATATTTGCACAATGATGAAATCACCTAATGCCGCATTTCTCAGAACGTATCTCCATCATTAGGCAATGCTTGACTGTAATTTTTTGGAATAGAATCACAGTTACACTGTACATATTGTCTCATGGCCTACTAGCATGAAATAGTTTCATTGCTTTACCTACTTCATGGTTGCCTAGTGAAAATTTAGGAAATTTGGCAAGCACCATCTTTTGACCAGTACCAGAACTGCAGCCTGCTCATGAGGTATAGGCAAGACCGCAAACACTACCAGATCCTTCTTAAGGGAGAAGAGTGGTAACTACATCAAGCCCACAAGGAGCCTTCTCAGGCTTCTGAAATTTTCTATGCTAACTTTAAGGTTTTTGTTGTGTGGGACTGTAACAGGATCAGAATGTCTTCAACTACAATGTCTCTGATTATAAAAGCATCCAGAAGTTTACTGAAAATTGAAAAGATGCAGAAATATGTATAGTATGCAAAAAAGTATAACACTATACAAATAACCATTATGAATATTTTCTATATATCTTCCCAGTATTTTTTACATATATAGATGAATGCATATCATTTCAAACCAGCTTCAGACCCTACTCAAGAGCATGGCTTGAACATCATTCTACATAAATATTTTCCAGGTGATTTTTTTATAAATGAGGCTTCTTATAAATGAGGCTTTTTTCTAATTTTATAGCATTTTATCTCAATATTATCCCTGAAGATATAAAAAAACCCAACAAATAATTATTTATTAGTTCTTTAAAAACAGAGAAGAGTAACGCCAGTCCTGTCTCTCCAACTGTACAAATAATCCTGTTAATAGTTTTGCAGGTATGTTTTTCTAGATTTGCTTACATATATTGTAGTAACATACATACAATATACTACAGTATATATTTATTTTTAAGTGAGATCATATGATACATGATTCTATAATTTTGTTTTTTCACCTTATTCTATTTCTCAGACATTTTCATGTCACTACATGTAGAGGTTCATGTTTCTATTCACCAGATATATAGTATTCCATTGTATGAATGCACCATGCCATATAATATTTTGAAAACTGCATACAGAAGTAAACCACATTCTCTCTCTGTCTCACTCTTAAATTTAGCCAACACAGAAAAATGGTTCTTGCTGACCACAGCTGTATCTGCTGCCTGAAAGAATAAATTGCAAGGAGGACACATGCAGGGCAGTAGTCAACACAGCAACCAGGCTACCTGCTTGATCAGGTCCAGGAAAATTTCCACTACTGGCAAAAGACAAGGGGCATATGGGAGCATGTCTGTGCTTATTTATGAATGTTTATGTGTCTGAAACAAAATAGGTACACTGTTTCAGCTTTATTTTTCTTTTATGATTATAAAATAATCATGGAGACATCGACTTTAAAGATGCTGAAATAGGTTAATAAATAGTATTAAATAGTAACCTCATCAACCAGAAATGCTCACTGTTAACATGGAAATTTATTTTCTTCCAGATTTTTTCTAATCATATGTATATGCATATATTATGTGTGACTTCATTCAACTACGTATTTCATCCCTTTTCTATGCTCATGTACATGTAACTAACACACGCATAGCCTTCCCATGTGTCACTCAATTTATAGTAATATTTTCCCCCATGCTGTCAAATACTTCTTTCTATCAGTTATTTTTCTGTGCAAATTAATAAACACTTAATAATTCAAACAACAACGGAATGTCTAGCAATATAAACATGGAATGCCAACTCAATAGATTAGCATGAATAGCCATGCTGCACTGAAGCCTTAAATTAGAGGCTGTAATCTGATCACCCCCTTCTCCCACTGTGGACTTATAAAGCATAGTGATATAAAAAAAAATTCCAGAGGATTAGTTTATTCAAAATGCCAGCAATTTTCTCAAAACCACACACTGTTCTCACCACTCCAAGACTGTAATCCCTATTATTCACATCTTTACTCTAGGACCCTGAGAAGTCACTAGAAAATAATTAGCTTTAAGACAGCCATTACCTTGAAGGTTCTTGTCAGCTGTGGCCTCCAGAAATGCTGCTCCTCCCCCAAGGCTGGCCAGGCACAGCTCACTTCCAAGCTGCTCAGAGAAGGCTCCGCCCCCTGGCAGTGATGAAGAGCAGAATTAGAATCCTTTTCTGAATTAGAAGAGGAAGAATTGTCAAGAAAGACCCCTGAACTGTTGAAATATAACAGTATAAGTCTTGAAACTGTAAAATTACTAAGGGAAAATATAGGCGAAACACTTTGGTAACTAGGTCTGGGAACAGACTTTATGAACATGAGCCTGAAAGCACAAGCAGTAAAAGAAAAAATAAACAAATGGGACTATATCAAACTAAAAAGCTTCTGCACAGCAAAAGGAAAAAATCAAGAGAGTGAAATGACAACCTACAGAGTGGGAGAAAATTTTTGCTAACTATGCATCCAACAAGGGATTAATATGCATAATATACAAGGAACTCAAGCAATTATAGAGTAAAAAAACAAATAACTCAATTAAAAACTGGGCAAAGGAACTGAAATAGACATTTTTCAAAGGAAGACATACAAATGGCCATCAGGTACATGAAAAAATGCTCAACATCACTAGCCATCAGGGAATTGCAAATTAAAACCACATTGAGATACCACCTCACCCCAGTTAGACTGGCTATAATAAAAAAGACAGTGAATGACAAATGTGGAGAGAAATGAACGCTCCTACAGTGTTGGTGGGACTATAAATTAGTACAACCACTATGGAAAACAGTATGGAGGTTTGATCCAGCAATCCCACTTCTGGGTATATACCCAAAGGAATGGAAATCATAATGTCCAAGGGATACCTGCACTCCCATATTCATCGCAGCTCTGTTCACAATAGCCAAGATATGGAACCAACCTAAATGTCCATTGATGAATGATTGGATAAGGAAACTGTAGTATATATACACCATGGAATACTACTCTGCCATAAAAAGAATGAAATTCTCCCATTTACAACAACACGGATGAGCTTCGAGAAACTTATTTTGAGTGAAATAAGCAAAGCACAGAGGGATAAATACCACATGTGCTCACTCATATGTGGGAGCTAAGAGAGAAAAAAGGAAGGAAAGAAAGACTACAGTGGTGCATTGGACTTGCAGAGGGAGAGAACATACCTAGGGATACAAAGTGGAGTGGGGAAAGAGGGAAGTGGAGGAAGGTCAGGCATAATTGAGGAGATAATTTGGTGGGGGACACAGGGTATTATCACAATCTGTGGTAATGGACATGCTGTCAGTATCACATCTTAGGCACGATTAGTAACAATTTGCTTTGTATCCCAAGAATATTCATAACCAATAAAAACAAAACAAAACATTAAAAAATAATTAATAAAGAAAGAAAAAATAATATGCCCGAGCTTGTATATTCAGTGGCAGAACACAGGATCTCAGTTCAGCTTCCTGACTTATTGAGTAGTTCCCTTGTCCTTGAAAGCTACTTTTTATAGAGACCTCATGGTTTGGTGGAAGGAATATGAACTTCATGGTGGAATAGACCCAGTTCCAATCTCAGCTTAAACATGTTAACCTATAACTTGTTTTAATCAGTGGAATCATATTTATGTATATAATGTTTGCCACCAGTTTTTAATTAAATACTACATCATGAAAAAAAAAATGTTCCTTTTTAAAGAACTTCGAAGTGAAATGGCAACAAGTGTGTTTAATTTCCATTTGAACCTTTAGGGCACATGATTTCTTTAAGAGGTAATAATCACTTTATCATATAATAAAAACCCAGTTAAAAATATTCCTTACATATTTTTTTCTTGCCTTCTCTGGCATCCTACCTCCACAGGTGAATTTAAAACTCTGCTGGTCAAGCTCCATTAAAATAAACCACTAAGGATATTTGTTGGGATTGCACTAAAACTGTATCTTATTTGAGGAAGAACTGACTTCTTTATAATTCTTTTTTTCTACTTCCAGGACATGGTATATTTCTCCTTTTATTCAGTTCTTCTCTTACGCCCTTCAGGAAAGTTTTAGAGATTTCTTCACATACATGGTTATTTCTGACCAAAGGCTGAAAATTATCGGTTTTGGAGAAACTGAAATTATGGAGAAAAGTACCCTTTTCACATACCCTCATCAATAACTGGCAATTCCTTCTTCTTATATTTTGCTGTTGCTTTCACTTGAGCAATTTAATGTGAAGGGAATTATACATTTTTAAATTTACATGTCTTTATTTGTTGTTTTTTTTAATTTATTTTTTATTATACATACACGTGGGGTACAATGTTGATTTTCAGTAATTGTGTACAATGTGTGATGGTTAGATCAGGATAGTTAGCTTATTCATCATTACAAAATGCAATCATTCTTTGTGTCCATTGAGCAATTCCTCATTAGCCCCCTTCCCTCATCCTTCCCCTCCCCTTTTCCACCTCTAGTTTTCTAAAAGTTCAACATATTACCGTGATTATTGTTTCTTTCTGTCTTTCTATCTCTCTTTATTGTTCATTTGTTTATTCATGGATTCAGCTCCCAGTTATGAGCGAGAACATGTGGTATTTCTCTTTCTGTACCTGGGTTATTTCACTTAGGATAATTTTCTCCAGGCTCATCATGTTGTTGCAAATGGCAGAATTTCATTCTTTTTTATGGCTGAGTAGTATTCCATTGTGTAGATATACCACAATTTCCTTATCCAGTCATCCATCGATGGACATTTAGGTTGGTTCCATTGCCTAGTTATTGTAAATAGAGCTGCAATAAACATGAAAGTGCAGGTATCACTTCGACCTGGTGTTTTCCAATCCTCAGGAGTGGGATTGCTGGATCATATGGAAGATCTATCTGTAGTTGTTTAAGGAGCCTCCATACTGTTCTCCATAATGGCTGTACTAATTTACAGTCTCACTAACATATATGTCCTTATTTGTATGTCTAATATATACTTAGCACTTTATATTCCTCAGAATTCTCCATTTAGATATTAAGTATCATTAGTGATAATTTGGGGAATGAAGTGTTTTATTTGGCCTCTGTGTCATATAATATGTAGTATTACTCATACATATGATTAAATTTTTAAAATCAACCTTTATACCTGACTTATTTTACTTAATGTAATTTTTTCTAAGCCAGAGAAATACCACATGTTCTCACTTATTTGTGGGAGCCAAAAATAAATAAGTAAATACACAAACAAATGTGGGGGGAAGAAGACATAACAATCACAATTCTTTGAACTTGTTAAGACAAGTGAACAGATATGATGTTGATGGGTGGGAGCAGGGAGAGGGAAGGGGGAGGGAGGAATAGGTAAAGGGACATGAAAATCAACTACATTGTATATTGTTGAAGTAAAAAAAAATCAACCTTTATACAGGCATTAATATTGGAATAACATGTACCAACAAATTAATGAGGGTCATCAATAGGCTGGTGTATTATTGGGAGCTCTAATAATTACAGTATGCAATGCTTTGTGCTATAAATAATCCCTACATCTCAGAGGTTCAATCCCGAAAAAGTTTATTTTGCTTTTGCCAGAGTTCAATATAGGTCATCATGTGGCCAGAAAGGGGGCTGGAGGATACTCTTTTCTAAGCAGTCATTAAGAGATCCAAACTTCTTCCATCCTGTGACTGTACCATCTTCTTGGGCCTTGAAGTCCTACACTGCATTCTTTGCATCTGCTCACTTGTCAAAAGAAGAGGGAGGATGGACAGTCCTGTGGAAGGTTTTAGAGGCCAGGCATGGAGCCCCAACTGCCACAGAGGCAAGGGAATGTAGTCTACCTGTGACCCCAGGAGGAAAATGAAACGGAATTTGGTGAACATGTAGCATTCTCTCTGCCACATGAAGTTTTCCCTTTCAATCTTTTCTAGACTTCTGCTATTTATATAATGTTTTTTTTTTACAACTGTGTATTATATTTATAATGAATGTGACAGAAACCTCTAGTTGCCCACCTGAAATCCACTCTTTGCACTATTCTGTATTAGCAGGAGCCCAGTTGTATTCAGGGTGGCAGTGTGAGCTCCTAAAATATTACCTTTCCTAGACTCCTTCACTGCAAGCTATGGCCATGTGATGGGATTTTTTGCCAAAGAATGCAAGCAGAAATTGCTATGAAGATTCTAGAGAAGGCACCTCCAAAGGGGGATAAACAGCCAGCTTAGGCTTTTTTCACTTTAGCTCTTTCTCTTGCTTCCTAAGATTTGACCATGACAAGAGTTCGTACAGACATTCCGGACCAAGAAGTGACTTAGAAAAAGAACACAACTCACTTAGGGATCCTAAGCACCTGAATAGAATCATGGGGACCACCTTATTTCAATCTCTTTAACTTAGTGGAACAATGAACTTCTATCTTACCTCAGTCACTGTGCTTTCCAGTCTCTCTTCCTAGCAGTAGAAAAAAAATTTGCAGATAGAAGATTCATTCTTACTTTAGATCTTATCATCCTCAGCATATGATTTTTTTTTCTTTCTTTATTAAATTGGGAACTTTCACCTTTTCACTTAAAGAAAGCACTTTATGGCTTCTCCTTGCATATCTGAATAGCCAGCATCACTACTTTTGTGCTTTGGGGCAATTATAAAGTAAAGAAGGGCTACTTGAACACATGGTCTGCAATACTGAGACAAGTGATCTGATAACCAAGAAGGCTACAAGTTACTAACAGGTGTGTGGCATCTACAGCATGGATGCACTGGACAATGGGAGGATTCATGTACTAGGCATGATGGTGCAGGATGGCGCAAAATTTCATCATGCTACTGAGAATAGTGTGCAATTTAAAACTTATGAATTGTTTCTTTCTGGAATTTTCCATTAATATTTTAGGGCTGTGGTTGACCTTGGGTAACTCAAACTGTTGAAAGCAAAACTGCAGATAAGGGGGGACTACTGTATATGGTTTTAAACGAAGATACTTATTTGATTATATATTTTATAATATAATATTTTTTCTGTCTTCTCATTTCACATGTTTGGAAAAAAACAAATGCACACAGTATATGGCCCTAATTATAACTATTACATATAAGGAATAAATACGCGTGCACGTGTGTGTGGAGGGAGATGGTCAGGGAGAGTTGGGGAGTTCGTCAGGAACACCATTTCTGTTAGTGAACATTTTGGTACTTTGGGTCCTCTTGAGGTTTATTTTAGGGGAATCTTCTTTTAACTCTTCTAAGCTGCCACTGCTGCCCTGTCTACCAGATACCAAGGTCTGTGTCTCCTGGACTAACCCAGAGAACAGCACAATAACCTCATTAAGAAATAAGCTTAGGAGTCAGAGATCCAGAATGACTGTCATGGCAACCTATTGGACAGGACTGTTTTCAAGGATTTCTTGAAAATTAGTTAGCTGACTGGGACAGGCAAGTCTTCCATAAGTAGACATCATTATGACCATTTGCATACTTTCCTTATAGGGTTTTAGCATATTTAATTCTTTCCCAGCATTAGAATCTGTGGATATTAATTTAAAATGTTATAGCTACTAAGCCAGAAGTAAGACAAATTGTACTCCATATTCTCAACTTAACATGTTTTTAACGTGAAATGCTTCATGAAATGGGAAGAGCCTTACCCACTGTCCTGTGGATCGTGGTGGGTCTGGCCCTGTGATCCAGCTGTCTTGAGAACTCCCACTGCTTGACCAGCAGGGTCTTTCCCCCACTCAGCACTTCTATGGCTGCACTGCCTTTCTGGGGCTTAACTGGTGTTACATGCAGATTCCCCAGGTCACGTGCATCTGTGATATTAACCTAGGCTATTCAACAGGAACACAGGGAATAAAACCAATTAAATGCAAAAGATGTAAAGAAATTTCCCTACCAAAACTCTAGCAGGCATGTCACTCTGAAACACAGGAATGAGGCAAAATCTCATCTGTGATGTGGATGCCATGTTATTTTCCTTTTTGTTTTAATATTATGAAATGCTCTCTGTGTCACACTTGTGTTATTTGGTTCATGCTGAAATCATCTCTTCCAGGAAATAACAAGGTGGAGACATGACAGAAGGCAAATAATTGCCTTGTGTCTACTATGGGCCAGGCTCTACGTAGTGGTATTTTTTATAAATTCTAAGTCCTCACATCAGTCTATGGGTGGGGCTTTTTCTTCTAACACATACAACTTTTTCAGTGAAATTTCAATCACACTCTACATGGTGTTTCATAGTCTGCTAACACAAAATACGTTTCATTGCTTTGTTTGCTCACTTCAAAAAAATAGTTGCCTGGAGAAAATTTAGGATATCTGTCAAGCGCCATCTTGTGACCAGAACCAGAACTGTTACTACCATGTTCTGGTGGGAGAAGGGTGGGAACTAACTACATCCTGCCAGCCAGCAGCTTTCTCAGGCTTCTAGAATATACCATGCTCAAATTTAGAGTTTTGTTATGCATATCTGAATATCTTCACCTCCAATGGTATGTTGATAGGAAAAATAATCACATGCTTACTTACTCAAAATTGAAAATATGAGAAATATATATTTAAAAAAGTATAATTCTGGAAAGACAACATTATTTCCTGTATATCTTTCCATATATTTTTACATATATAAATAAATGAATACCATTTCAAACCAGCTTTTTACCCTGCTCAAGTTCATGGTTTGAACGTATTCCAAATCAATAAGTATTTTCAAAGTGATTTTTTAAATAGATCACTTCAAATGAAATTTATATCTCAATCTTCCTTCTGGTATTGTTAAAAATAACTAAATTTGTCATATACTAAATATGTTAATGCTAAGTATGTATTAAGGATTATTTTTAAATAGAGATAGTAAAGCCTGTCCTGTCTTTCCAACCACACAAATAATTTCCTTAGTGGGTTGCCTTAATTTTTTTCTGATTTGGTTACACATATTGTATTTACATAGCCTTTTATCTTTAAATGACATGATATGGTGCTTGCTATTCTGCAATTTGCTTTTTTTTTTTTTTTCCTAATGCTACTTCTCAGACATCTTTTCAAATCACTACACGTTCATACTTTTATTTGACAGTAATACAACATTCCATTGTGTGACTGTACCATGCCACGTAATACTTTTAAAACTGCTTATAGAAATAAAGTAAATCCTCTCTCTGTCTCACTCTTAAATTTAGATGGTACAGAAAAATGATTCTCCCTGACTATGGCTGTACCTGTGGCCTAAAAAGATGGGTTGCAGGGACGACGCATGCAGAGCTGTAGTCGACACAGAAATCAAGCTACCCACTTGATCAGGTCCAGGAAAATTTCCACTACTGGCAAAAGGCAAGGGGGGTATGACAGCGTGTCTGTGTGTGTCTATGAATACTTATGTGTCTGAAACAAATTGGGTACACTCCGCTTCATTTTGCTCTTCTAATTATAAAAATGATCATGGAATAAAGCAGTTCTAAAAATGCAGAAACCAATTAAAAATAAATTCTAAAAATCCCAGTAATCTCAACACTCAGAGATGCTAACTATTAACACAGGAGTCTAGTTTCGTCCATAAAGAAAATGCATATTTTTTTTACAAGTGTTATCACTTAACAGCGTATCTCAATCCCTCTCCTTGTTCATGTACATTTATATTTATGTCTGTGTATGTCATTCACTTTATATGTTTACAATTTTCTATGTTATTTTGGGGGTACAAAAACAAATGTTTAAATCAAAATACAATAAAAATCTGTAATGCAGATAGAAACATGGAAAGCCATGTAAAAATTTAACACTGAAGGAATGCCTCACAGAAGTCTTAATTTAGAAGCTGTAATCTGATCACCCACTCCCACACTGTGGACTTTAAAAATATCGGGAGAAACAAAAATTCCAGAGGATTCATTTCGTCCCAATAACAACAATTCAGCCCAAACCATATTCCATTCCCACCTTTCCCAGACAACAATCTCTATTTTTATTTCACCTTATTATCAAGGCCCGACGATATTCCCAGAAAAATAACTAGCTTTAAGACAGCCATTACCTTGAAGCTTCTTGTCAGCTGCAGCCTCGCGAAATGCAGCCCCTCCCCCAAGGCTGGCCAGGCACAGCTCACTTCCAAGCTGCTCAGAGAAGGCTCCGCCCCCTGGCTGTGATCGGGAAAGAAGGGGGCCTTTCCTTCCCTCCATTAGGGGGAAGAGAATCGCCAAGTTAAACCGAAATTCGCTTAAAGGGAAAAGATGTTAATTTTTAAAGCACGTGAAACCAGAATGCAATAGTGTCTCTAATTTACATTCAAACTATAAGGCTGGGTGATTTCCTGAAAAATAAAATAGGTAGAATGCCTTTATCATATAATGAAGACCCAGTTAAGAATGTCTTTTACATATTTTTTTTTTTTTGCTATTCTGGCACCTTATTGCAACGAATGATTTTAAGATACAGCTGGTCAAGCTCTATTAAAAAGACCCACTAGGTCCTTTTTTGTGACTGTCGTGAATTAATATACTACTTTGTGGATAATTCATTCTCTACAATTTTAATTCTCCTGGCCCTGGGATATTATATGTTTCTCTTTTTATTTGGGTCTTAGCATTCATGCTTCAGGAAGTTTCATAGTTTTTTTTTTATTAAAGTCTTTTCTAAATATAAAACATTATCCCAAATCCTTAAAGAGATGTATCCAAATATACTGCAATTGAGAAAACAACAACAACAACAAGAAAAACTCTCTATGGCAAAAACACAATAAAACAAAGCTGAAAATAAAAGAAAAAACTCTTTTCAGAGAAAAATATCTCTAATCTAAAGTAGCTGTTATATTTTAATAAGAAAGAAATAGCAAAGTAAAAAAAAAGTGGGCAAGGGAAATAAAAAGCAAATAAAAAAAGGCAGAAAACATATATAATTCACGATGTTCTGAGAGTAATTCTTACCCACTCCTCCTATTACTTTCCTGTGAGCAAGCTCATGCACTGGAACTATAGGTACTTCTGTCCTTCTTGCACAGTTGCAAGCCTCTAAGGCTGTTTAGATAGACTTGCTTATATTGGGGGTTATGTTTTAAGACCCATTTGATTCTTACATTAATCAATACCCCACAACTTACCTCCTCTTGTACTAAAGCTGACATTTTGGCTTCCATCTGCAACCCCATTTGTTTTACATCAATTTGTTCAATGGAGAAAGGGTGGTGCTATTTAAGAGGGCTCCTCAAAACCCAAACATTCAAATTAAAAATTAAAACTGACCAATCTATAAAAGATATTCACCTTCCGTAATAATAAAAAAGATGCAAATATAAACAGCAATGAGATGTTATTTTTCTACCTAATTTGACCAACAAAGAAGCAAAGAAATAATACAATGACCAGTCAGCAAGGGGACAAGGACGGGCATTCTCACTCATGCCCAAGGTCACAAAACTGGGAAAAATGCAAGACAAAATCAGAGCCAAAGTCTATCTGACTGCAAAACAGGAGGATGTGTCATCTCTCCACCAGTACTTACCTGCTTCCTGGGCTTGGAATCCTGTCTTTTTGATAGAACCAAAGATGATGTCATTCACTTCCAGATTGTGAGGAAATTGGTGAACATTACCCCTGAGTGAGTGCTTCTTAATCTCATGTCCCTCCCGGTGAACACCTGGTGAACTATACCTATCTTCAGTAACTAGCACACTTACCTGTGAACTCTCTCCATCTCTCTCATACATCTATATTTCCACACAAATTAAAAAATAGTTGTTTGCACTATGATATTGCACTGACCATATCTGCATGATAGCATTCACTTAGCCTGAGAGCACTTATGACGAGTCTTTTTTGTGTTGCAGGAACCTGGCAGTAACTTCCCTTTCAGATATAGCTATTCCTGGACAGGGGCTGAAAATCATTTGCTATGTAGAGAAGTGGCTATTTCATTCCACACTCATTAACAATTGGCAAATCCTTGTTCCTGTGTTTTATTGTTTGCAATTGCCAATTCCATACGGGGAAATCGAATTTCTATCCTCTTTTGCCGAGCTTTTTTTTACTCACAAAATACTGAAGTATTAGGACTTAAATTTAGATTTTTATTGCTTCTAACTTTGAGGTGTTATTTCCCAGGAAGCATTAAAGCCTACACACTGCTGATGGATACTGATTCTGAAGCTTAGGTCTCTTAAGATTATGTTAAGTTTAAAACCAAAAATTATAAGATGTAAGTAAAGTTGGTGAGGTCCTCACAATCCCACCCATTATCACACTAAACAGGTAAACACATCTCCTGCCACATTCTATCTATTCAGGTTAGAGAGATATAGCTGCACTATGACACAGCTCTTCCTGTAATGAACAAATGGAGAAAAAGAAAACTATCTGCTTTGGGGACTCTAAAGAAAGAAGAAACCATCACTCTTCCAGAGACCCATAACAGAAGGGTCAGGCTGGGTCGAAATTATTCTGGTAACTAAACCTGGAAACGAAATCAAGGGTTCTTTGGAGAGATATGGATTTCTGTTGACAGGACCCTATGTCTAGCCTTTAAGAGTTTGTCACAGAGGCATTATGAAGAGATTATATTTTTTAAGTTTTCAAACAGACAGGGAGTTAGACAATTGGGGGTTTGAAACCTTTATTAGCTGACTGAAGAGAAAACTTTCAAATTCTTGAAAGTATGTTAGCCTGTCATCTCTACATTCTAGAGAGCATAGTTAACAAAGATGTCTGAGTCACATGCATCTCTAATATTAATCTACATTGTCCAAATATCAAATATTAAACTATATTTAATGATACAATACAAAAAGAGTTTCAGCTCTTTTCTAGAAAAGCAGTGCTTTTGAAGAAGCCTCATTCTATTGCCTTAGGGCTAGTAAATGGTTCTCACTTGCTGTAGACTCTTTTTATCCCCCTGAAACTTCACAAAGTACCTTGAATAAAGTGTTTTCAGTGGATGGTAACTGGATTAGACTAAAACGTGGCAAAAAAAGAAAAGGGATTAGATAAGACGTTTACTATGCTAAGTAAAGAGAAGGTGGACAATGAGAATAGAGACAAGATGCAGGTCAGAAGAATAAATGGTGGGTATCAGACAGACAGGTTCAGAGACATGGAACATATTTGGGGGGAGGGGAACAAAAACAGAAAAGTATTATGATAACACAAACCCAATACTCCATCTTTATTTTTTTCTGTTGTAAAATAAGAAGGGAATGTGTATGAAAGGGAATGTGGCTTTGGTGGTATCAGGGGTATTATTTTTGTTCTTAAATAATTTAGGCCTTTTGGACCCCTCTGGGTTATCACAAGGGAATGCTGAGTTTTAACATTTTCTAAACAGCTAGTGCTGCCCTGTCTGTACAAGGCAACAAAAGGAAATCCCAAGGACACAGACAATAGGATTTAGTACCAACAACCTTAGAGAAAGCATGGCCTTTGGAATTAGATACTTGTGATGGTAGTTGAGAAAGAATTAAATGTGTTAAATGACAGCAAAGTATTATTCAAGAGAGTATACAGATGTCTAAGGAAGGTGAAAAGACATTAAGAAAGGTCTTAAGAAACCTTTGTAACTAGGCTACCTAGTATCTGGTGATGACAACCTAGCACAGTTGTTAAGGACTGCGAAGTCAGACCGTTGGCTGGAACCTCAGGTAGACATCTGAACATCCTCTTGGATGATTTTTTCATAGAGGCTTAATACATGAGATTCTTCCCCAAAACTAGAAGACATGACTTTTAATTATAAAATGTTATGGCTGCAGAGGGGGAGCAAAGTGAATTATACCCGAAATTCTTAACTGAACATGATTTTAATATGAAATGTGGCTTTTCATGTAAAATTCTGACTGTGAAGTAAGAAGCTAAATACATTACTCCCCAAGTTCGCATCAAGTTAACATGAAATATTTCTTGAAATGGGAAAAAACTTACCCACTGTTACGCAGATCCAGCTGTCTTGATTGTCAGTCCCACTGCTTGACCAGCAGGTCCCTTCCCCTTCTCAGCACTTCTGTGGCTGCACTGCCTTTCTGGGGCTCAACTGGTGTTACATGTAGATTCCCCAGGTCATGTGCATCTCTGATATTATTAACCTAGGCTGTCCAAAAAGAAGACAGGGAATCAAACCATTAGAAAAAGTATAATAGAAAAAGTGTGAAGAAATTTTCCTACCAAAATTCTAGCAGGCATGTTATTCTGAAACACATGAATGAGGTGAAATCTCATCCGTGGTGTAGATGCCATGTTTATATCTCTTTTTGTTCTCAATATTTGAAATGCTGTCTGAGACACGGCTATGTTAATGGTTCATGTTGAAATCATCTCTCTAATTAAAAGTATGAGGTGGAGACATGAGAGAAGAGAAGTAACAATTGCTTTGTGTCTTTTACAGGCAAAATTCTGTGTGTTTTTTTTTTTTTTAATACTTTCTGTGTGAATCCTTACATCAGTCCTTGTGTGAAGTTTTTTTGTGTTATACATGTGCAATTTTTCAACATATTTCAATCACACTCTACATGCTGTCTCATAACGTGCTAATACAAAATATATTTCACTGCTTTGTCCACTTCATAAAAATGGTTGCCTGGAGAAAGTTTGGGAAACTTGCTATCTGGTGGCCAGAACCAGAACTGCAGAAACTCAGGTCCTTAGTGAGGAAGGGTGGGAACCATGGCCATCCAGGCAGTAACCTTCTCAGGCTTCTAGAATTCTACATTCTCAGTTTAAGAGCCGTGTGTGTGTGTTATACAAAAGTGGGATTATAATATCCTCATTTTAATATTTTCCATTATAATATATCTCATGCATATTGCATATCTTTCTTCATCTTATGAATTTCCAAAGAAAAAAAGCAAATTTCCATAATAGTCAAAATATAATGGTTTGCTCTTTAAAATTCTAGATTTCTCCTATAGACACTTATAAATGTGCATTGATTTGGAAACAAGACATTTTATCTCTCCAATAATATATTTGAACATCTTTCTATGTAGATTAAATATTTTCTACATCATTTTTTGTGAATTACTTTACAAGATTTTTCCATATTTACAGAATTTTCTCTCATTTTCTTATAACGAAAATTAAGCTTGCTCTTTTCAAAATAAGCTTTTAAAAATGAACAAATGCAATAATATAGAAGGTTAAAATGTCCCTTCTCTCCAACTACGCTTATATCTCCAAATAAATTAGCATTGTATTTCCAGATTTCTCTCTCATACATTGTACTAATGTACACATTTTTTTTTTTTGGAAAAGATGAGATTATATGATACAAGCCATTCTGCAATTTGATTATTTTTAGAGTATACCTTGGACATCTTTTCTTATCATTGCACTTAGAATTCACTCATTCTTTTCACAGCTGCATAGAATTCAATATTATGGATATACTATCCCACATGACTAATCCATAATATGTTTTAAACATTTTCTGAATTCTTTCTCAAGAGTATACAAATAAATATCTTCTTCTTGAACAAGAGTCTGGACTATGGCCTAAATAAATTGAATTGCAAAAAAAAGCACAAGCTACCAGGTAACCAGCCTTCTGAGATCCACAGAAAAATCCAACTTCAGCTAAAAGATAATGGAGTGTGTGTGACTATCTATTCAAGTGTCTGTAACAAAACAGATTATTCCCTTTTCAGCTCCCTTGCTGTTTTGGAAAGAATCTAAAAGTACATACAACCTAAAGAAGAAAATACACATCGTCAGTACTCTTTCTCCTGAGTTGTTTACTGCTTACACTTGAGTCTAAGCCCTTTGATATTTTCCTTCATCATCACATATATATTTGAATATACTATTTGAAATTACATTTATTCACCCACATATTTGAACATCTTTCCATGTTTATGTATGTGTACACCATTTTGAGGAAGGTAGCTTTTCTTTCCATCATTTTCAATTCTCATCTCAGTTATTTCCATGCTCACATAGGTACTACATGCTAGGTGAAATGTGGAAGAAGTGGAAAATTTCCTCTTTTTTTCCTTGACATCCTTTAATACTAGATATCTTTTATTATTAGATATATTGTTTGTTGTGTTATATTAAAATATGTCTATTGTTTTTTATGATCTCTCAGATTTTTATATTACAGTACAAATAGGAATATGCCATTCTCTTGATAGATAGGTAGAGATGTAAACAAAGATCATCTTTTGCAAATCATTGAAAAGGCATTTTTTTCTTTGCAGTTCAAAATTTTTTATCATTATGTTCTAATTGACACCTAATAATTGTACATATTATGAGGTACAGAGTGATATTTGATACGTGTATACATGGGTAATTAGCATATCTATCACCTCACACATTTACCATTTCTTTGTGTTGAGAACTTTTGGACTCCTCTCTTTTAGCCATTTGAAAATATGCAATAAATTATTGTTAATCATCGTCATCTAGCAGTACTATAGCACACCGGAACTTATTCCACTAATCTAGCTGTAAGCTCTTACAGTTAACCAACCTCTCCCTACCTCCCCTCCTGCTACTCTTTTCAGCTTCTAATAAACAAAATTCTACTCTCTATTTCTATGAGCATAACTAAAAAGCAATAGTAAGGCTGAGTATGCTCTGACAAATAACCAAATTGCTAATTCTCAGAGGTACTTGAATCTACAGTTACACATTACTTTAGATTACTATACAAACTCCACCAAAACAGTAAGATTTGTTAGAAAGAAAATTAATACATCCAAAGTAATATTTAAAAAAAAAACATTCTCAACTAACAACTTAGTTTTTCATTTGATTATCATTACTTGTTTTCAAAATAAGATTAATTTCCCTAGATTTGTTTCAGCATTTATCTCAGCCATTACTGCTTTTTGATTTAAACATAAAATGCCCTATTCAAAAGTTAGCTTTTACAACCTCATGAATAATTTTTTTTTCCCCCCGCAGGTGTAATCTGATCATCACCTCCCCGTTGTGGACTTTTAATATATCTGGAGGAACACAAAACCCAGGTAAGAAACAACGACTCTCACAAAACAACACTCCTTTCCCATTACTTCAAAGCAGCAGTCCCTTCTTTTCTTGCCATTACTCCAAATCCTCAAGAAGTCTCCAGAAATAACTAGCTTTTACGACAGCCATTACCTCCAAGCGTCTCCTCTTCAGCGGAAGCCTACGAATCCTGTTGTAATGCAGCCCCTCCTCCGAGACTGGCCAGGCGCAGCTCGCTTCCAAGCTTCTCGGGGAAGCACCGCCCCCTCTCCGTGATGGGGAAAGCAGGAGGTCCTCCCTTCGTTTAGGGGGAGGAGGATAAGCAAGTTAAACTGAAGTACAGTTAAAGGAAAGAAATGGATTTTTAAAAAACAACTTTAAAGCATAATGGCAACGTATGTCTGTTCAATTTCCATTCAGTCCCTAGGGTACGTGATGTCCTGGAAAAAAAAAAAAAAAAAAAAAAAAAGAAAGAAAGAAAGAAAGAAAGAAAAAAGAGGTAGCAAATCTTTTTTTCATACGATAAAGATGTACTGAAGATATTCCTTACATATCTTACATTATTTTTCTGGCCTCTCATACTTTATTTCTGGTAAATTTAAGACGAACTGGTTAAGCTTCGCTAAAAAAGCATGCTAAGAATCTTGATTAGGACTGCAGTGAATTAATACTTTATTTTAGTTAGAATTAATTCTTTCCAATTTTGAATCTGAACCTGGGAAATAATATGTCTCTCTTTTTATTCAAATTTCTTATACTTCCTTTCTTAGGTCATTTCCACAGGGAAAAAAAAAATCCTCAAACAAAATCTGATTATACTGAAATTGGAAAAAAAAATCAACAGTAAAATCACAATAAGCCAAATTCAAAAATCAACTACAGCTTAAACTGCTTTTCAATGCATATGATTGGATGAACAAAAAACATGCCTACATCAGTTATTATATTTCAATGAGAAAGAAATTAACAACAGAGTACAGAAAGGGACAACAGACACAAGAGGACATTTCACAACATTCTTCCCTACTCCTGATATTTACTTCCCTGTCAGGAGAGCTCAAGCAGCACAACCCAGGGCTCTCTGCTTTTTCTAAACTGGAGAGACAGGCCTGTAAGCTGATGGATAGTTTTGCCGATGTCTGGGGATCTGTTAGTCCCCTTTCAATCTCACAATAAGTATTATCCTGTAATTTATCTTTCCCTACTAATAAAGATGACATTTTGGTTTCATCTGCTATTCCATTTGTTTTTATTATAATTTGTTCATTATTTTCAGGAGATAACAATTGTAAACTTTCATGCACTTGCTAAATTACCTCAACATGTGTGATAATGCAAAAATGGAGAGAAATGCATTCTTGGGCAAGTAAAACTTTGATTAGCTCTAACAGAAATGGGGTGTTGGGAATGTTGGTTGGCTCCTTCTGAGGCTCTCTTAATATACAAGGTAGTTTGATTTCTCCCAGAGTAAAGTCTATTTATTTTGGTCTTGTAGTGTTTCATGTGATTTATTTCCTTCTTTTTGTTTTTCAGTTTTATGTAGGTATACTTATCAAATAAAATTGTATATATTCAAGTTTGTATATATTCAAGAAGTGCAAGGTGATGATTTGATATACTCATTTGTATATATTGTGAAATGGTTACCACAACCAAACTAAACAACATATCTGTCACCTTACATGATTACCTTTTTTTTTGTGTGGTGAGATGGTGAGAATACTTAAAATCTACTCTGTTAGCAAATTTCAAATATACACTACATTATTATTAACTACGGTCATCATGCTGTACATTTTGTCCAGAACTTATTCATTTTATTACTAAAAGTTTGTACCCTTTGACCAACATCCCTCCATTTCCTCCAACCCCAACCCCTGATAAATACCCTTTTACTCCCAGTTTCTATGAGTTCGGTTTTTTAAAATTCCACATGTAAGTGAGGTAATGCAGTATTTGTCTTTCTGTGTCTGGCTTATTTCACTGAGCATGATGTCTTTCAGGTTCATCCGTGTTGTCACAAATGGCAGGATTTTCTTCTTTTTAAGGCTGAATGTATCCCACTGTGTGCACGTGGTGTGTGTGCGTGTGTGTGTGTGTGTGTGTGTGTGTGTGCCATTTTTTCTTTATCCATTCATCCATTGACAGACACTTAGATTGTTCATATCTTGGCTATTCTGAATAATACTGCAATGAACATGGAAGTTTGGATATCTCTTCAAGAAGTGATTTTATTTCATTTGGATATAAACCCAGAAATGGGGTTGCTGGATCATATGCACTATGGGTCAAACGTGTTCCCCCCTAACTTCACGTATTGAAAACTCTGATCTCTATTGTAAAAGTGTTAAGAGGGTGGGAAATCCAATTATGCTATTTGAAAGGTGGAGCTTTTGAGAGGTGATTGGATCATGAGGACTGTGCTCTCATGAATGGTGAATGCATTAATCTATTCATGAAGTAATGAGTTATCATGGGTGTGGTTCTGATGGCTTTACAAGGTGTGAGTAAGAAGGTTAGCTCTCTTGCTCAGGCCATTCTCTCCACGTGACACTCTGTGTCACTGTAGAGAGTCACCACCAAGAAGGTCCTCACCAGATGTGTTTCCTGGACCTTGGACCTTCCAGCTTCCAAACTGTAAGAAATAAATTTAATTTATTTATAAATTACACACTTACAGGTATTCTGTTATAAGCAACAGAAACAGACTAGTACAATATGGTAGTTCTAGTTTCAATTTTTTGAGGTACCTTCATAATGGTTTCTGTAATGAGCGTACCAATTTACCATCCCATCAACAGTGTAAAAGGGTTCCCTTTTCTCTACATCAGCATCAACACTTATTTTTTAATCAGGTTATTTGTTTTTTATTATTATTATTGAGTTGTATGAGTTCCTTATATTTATTGGGTATTAACCCCTTATCAGATGTATGGTTTGCAAATATTTTCTCCCATTTTGTGGGTTGCCTTTTTGTTTTGCTGATTGCTTCCTTTACTGTAAAGAAAAGTTTTAGTTTGATGTTGTCTCACTTGTTTATTCATATAATTTCTAATGGTAAGTTCTCTCAAGAGCATTGACATAATTTAAAAAACCAGAGCTTCTCAATACTGCAACTCTTCGGTTTCTGTTCAGGAGAATCTCTGCAAAATTGTGGAACCAGTTCTGGCTAATGTTTATCAAGGACAGAACACTAAGAATCATTGTTCATTGAAAAATAGCAACATCAAGAACAGACAACTGATGAACTTTGTTCCCTAATATCACAAGACCTTGAGAAACATTATAGTTCAGAATAAAAAGTTTCTACCTTGCGGGGCTGCCTTTTAATTGTTGTAGATATTATTTTTATTTTCTTTGGTATTAAAGAGTGCTTTAAGAAACAGTGGATGTATAACATAAACATGCCAAAACATAAAATATTGAAAATACCAAGGGTTGACTAGGATGCGCAGTTAGAAGGTTCATACAATGGTGATAGGAGTATAAATTGGAACTAACATTTCAAAAAATGTTTTGGCATTATTGTCTAAAGCTAAACATTATAGAGGTTAACAAAGGACAACTTAGGGCTTTAAGTAGCAGAGTGGCATGTCTAAATTGGTAGCAAAGAAATGGCCTGAACAGAGAACTATGGGTACCCCAAAGCATATATAAGATGATCCAGTGGGGCATAGGAAGTAAATGATGAAAATCCATTTTTTATTTTGATTTATTTTATAAGCTCCTATTTATAAATATCTTTTTAAATGAACATAATAAATTATTAGTATTGGAGTACATTATATACTTTAATAAAATATTGAACTATTGGAAGGTGAGTCTCAAAATTTTTTTACAATGTTAATAAAGAAATATGTAGAGATTTCTGCTTTATAAGATTCACAGCCCACATAGCCCTCCCTCTTGTCCTATCCCTGTTTTGCATGGTTTGGGATTATCTTCTCATAAAAACCAGTAATTAATCTGAACTTCCTAACTTTCCTATGTACTGATTTAAATGCTCAGAGAAATCAACATTACTCCCACTGAACGTTTAAAATAATAAGAAACTGAATTATAATAAGCCATGTTTTTACAAAGGGATTGATTCTTGCAAACTTCAGACAATGTTACAAAATATGTGGTCATACAGTTATTCCACTTGGACTATATACGAGTGTTCACCATAGTATTATAAAGCCAAGATTTTAATACCAGCAATGATTGTCAACCTTGGTTTAATTTCTTTAGTGTCAACCTTGGTTTAATTTCTGAGTTCCCTAACTGACTTTAAGACCTTGAAAATAATGATTGAATATTTTTTTGGATACCTGAAAGATTTCTAAGAATATTAGAATCCATAAACATAAAGCATCAAACATGCCAAATTGCAGTTCAACTATTTTTATTTAGTTTCTTAGGTATAAAAGTATTTCTTTTTATAAAGCTCAAATTAAAATGGTAAAATCAATATCTTATAAATATCATCTTCTAATATATTGAGAGGTTATGTTTTATTTTAAAATTTTTTTTTAGTTTTATTTTATTTTGCCAGTATACAATGTGGTTGATTATTGTGGCCCATTATCAAAACCTCCCTTCCTCCTCCTTCTCCCCGCTCCCTCCCAACAACCTCATGTCTGTTCGCTTGTTGTATCAACTTCAAGGATTGTAATTGTGTCTTCTTCCCTCCCTCCACCAGGTTGTTTGTGTTTTATTTATTTGTTTTAATTTACAATTAATTGTAATTGTACAAATTTATGGGTACAATTTGATGTTTTGATACGTACATATGTCATATAATGACAAGGTCAGGGTAGTTAGTGTATTCATCACATCATGCATTTATCATATCTTCATGGTGAGAACATTCAAAAAACTCTCTTCTAGCAATTTTGTAACATACAATACTTTACTGTTAATCATAGTCACCTACTGTGCAATAAAGCACCAGAACTTATTCCTGCTAATTGTAGTTTTGAACCCTTTAACCAACCTCTTTCCATGTGCTCCCTTCTACTCTCCTCTCCCCAATCTTTGATAACAACTATTGTACTAACAACTGCTAGTGGAGTGCTATTCAGCCATAAAAGAGAATAAAATCCTGTGGGGGACACGGGTACAATCACAATTTATAGTAATGGGCATGCTGCCAGTATGGATCTGGCCTTCTCATCTAGGGCGTGAGGGGGGA